CTCCACCACATCCACACCTGTTATCTTTAATGACTCAATCTACCATTTAGTGCAAAAGCTGATCAGAATAATCATCATTCATTTCAGAATCATCATCTTCTTCTTCATCATCATCATTATCATCATCATCGTATTCATCGTCATTGTCATCTTCTTCATCTTCACTGTACTGTTCCGTGGCACTCTTCCCTATGGGCACTATATCACTCCCTTTCTGCTGGATGGCCAACATCTGCTCTTGGTACACCTGCTCCTGATCCTGGCCAGAGAAATTGGGGAGAAAGATTAACACGATTTCTTTTTTATTTTCCTGTGAGAAAATAGTATAGGAGGAGGAAGAGGAGGAGGAGGAGGAGGAGGAGGAGGAGAGAGGAGGAGGAGGAGGAGGAGGAGAGGAGGAGGAGGAGCAGGAGGAGGAGGTGGGGGGGGGTGGAGGTGGAGGTAGAGGTGGAGGAGGTGGTGGAGGAGGTGGAGGAGGAGGAGGAGGAGGAGGAGGAGGAGGAGGTGGTGAGGAGTGGTGGAGGAGAAGGAGGAGGAGGAGGAGGAGGAGGAGGAGGAGGAGGAGGAGGAGCAGGAGGTGGGGGGGGAGGTGGTGGAGGTGGTGGAGGAGGTGGAGGAGGAGGAGGAGGAGGAGGAGAAGGAGGAGGAGGAGGATGGAGGAGGGAGGTGGTGGTGGAGGAGAGGAGGAGGAGGAGGAGGAGGAGAGGAGGAGGAGGAAGAGGAGGAGGAAGGAGAGGAGAAGGAGGAGAGGAGGAGGAGGGAGGAGGAGGAGGAGGAGGAGGAGGAGGGGGGGAGGGGAGGAGGAGGAGGGGGAGGAGGAGGAGGAGGAGGAGGAGGAGGAGGAGGAGGAGGAGGAGGGGGAGGTGGAGGAGGAGGAGGAGGAGGAGGAGGAGGAGGAGGAAGGAGGTGGTGGAGGAGGGAGGAGGAAGAAGGAGGAGGAGGAGGAGGAGGGAGGAGAGGAGGAGTGGAGGAGGGAGAAGGTGGAGGAGGGAGGAGGTGGAGGAGGGAGAAGTGGAGGAGAGGAGGATGGAGAGGGAGGAGGTGGAGGTGGGAGGAGGTGGAGGAGGGAGGAGGTGGAGAGGGAGGAGGTGGAGGAGGCAGAGGAGGTGGAAGAGGCAGAGGAGGAGGAGGAGGAGGAGAGGAGGAGGAGGAGGAGGAAGAGGAGGAGGAAGAGGAGGAGGAGGAGGAAGAGGAGGAGGAGGAGAAGAGGAGGAGGAGGAGGAGGAGGAGGAGGAGGAGGAAAGAGGAGGAGGAGGAAAGGAGGAGGAGGAGAGGGGAGGGAGGGGAGGGGGGAGAAAGTGGAGGGGAAGGGAGAAGGAGGAGAAAGCAAAAGGGGGTAGAGGAGGAGGAGGAGGTAGAGGAAAAAGAGTAGGAGGGGGAAGGGAAAGGGGTAGGGAGGGAAAAGGCAATGGGGAGGAGGAAGGGTAGGAAAGGGAGAAGGGCGAAGGGGAGGAGAAGGAAGGGTAGGAGTACAGACGAAAAATGGTCTTGGAAGAAAGCAAGGAAGGAAAAAAGGGGAGTGACAGGCAGGAGGAAAGGGTGGGGTTGGGGGGGGATTGATGGCCAAAGGTATGAGTGGAGGAAAATACCTCATCTAAAATGCTCAGACACCAAGGCCTTTCTTCAGAGAACCATTAGCTATCCAACCATTAGGCCTTCAAGAAAAAAAAAAAAAGCAAGAAAGAAAGAAGAAAAAAGAAAAAAAAAAACAGATTCCAGTGACAGCATTCTTACCTTCAGTTCCTGAGCTAGATCAACTGGCTTGTCCACCTGGAACCAAGCTGGGTCAACAAGCCTAGGAGTCAGCGTTGGGAACAGAGGGGGCTGAGCCATAGTGCCAGCACAGTAGGAAGGTCTCCCTTTTGGTTCTGTTTTTTCAATGGATAGCGGAAGGATCCCAGGCGTATTTCTGGCTTATACCGAGACCAGAAAGCTCTGCAATATCCTCTGCTGTGAGATCGAAGTCCAGTTGGATATTCTCTGTTATGTGGCTGGTGTTGGTAGATTTGGGTAACACACCTGTGGTGGAAATTTATTGCTAACAAATTCCAATTACCTCTGACAAACACTTTCTTTTACAACAAGCATAAATACTTCAGCTCATAGAGATAACACACCTTTTTCAAATAACCTGTTCTATATATTCACAATACAACAAAATCACACAAGCCACTCACTGACCCCTGCTGGGTAGCCCAACGCAACAGGACTTGGGCAGGAGATCGAGACAACCTGCTTGCTATACAGAGCACCTTGGAATCCTGCAGGAGCGGGCTCACCTCTACAGTTGTCCCTAGGGAGGAGTAAGCCTGCAGGTGAATGCCTTCAGATCACAAAACTTTTTCAGGTCCTTCTGAAGGTAATGTGGATGATATTCAACCTATAAGGAAAAAAACACATGGACTTAATCAATAATGGAATATCTTTGTAAAAACATATGTATATATGTATATGTATACATATGTATATATGTATATATATACATATATATATACATATGTATAATAAGTATACATGTGTATATGTATACATATGTATATATACATTATACATGTGTATGTGAATGTCTGTGTGTTGCATGTGTGTGCGTGCTTGCGTGCGTGTGTGCATGTGTGTGTGCGTGTGTGTGTTTCAGTGTGTACATATGTTTATGTCTGTATTTGTTTATATTTGTGTGTTTGTGTATGTGTGAAAATGAATGTGTGCGTGTGAGTGTGTGTGGATGTGCGTGTGTGTGGGTGCGTGTGTGGGTGCGGGTGTGGTGCAGGTGCGAGTGTGGGTGGGTGGTTGGGTGCTTTCATGCAGCTATTGAATTCATGCGTGTGCATGTTTGTACATATGAATGAAGAGTTTTATAAGAACAAACAAATACATACAACCTTGCAACATTTCCCATAAATAAGCTCCATACCTGATTTACATGCGGCACAACTGTTGCAGTTTTGAGTAAGTCCTCAAGGTGGCCAACTGTGTAGTTTGAGACTCCAATAGCACGTACTTTTCCACTCTTGTAGATGCTCTCTAAGGCCTTCCAACTCTGCCCTCGCAGATATTGGTTCTGAGCATCCTCTGACTGCAACAGGAAAATGTATTTTTTCTCTCTTTCCTTCTTTCTTTCTTTATTATTTTATTTTCTAATACATATTCTGAGGCTGCAATCAACCTGTTTTTAACTTCTGATAACAAATATGATAAATATCTAAGATATAATAAATGTCATACGGTCACTAACCTTTAGTTTCTGCACTCCAGGCCAGTGGATAAGGTAAAGGTCGAGGTAGGTCAGCTGCAGGTTACTTAGACTCCACTCAAATGCTTGTAAGCTTTTTTCAAACCCGTGATCTTGAGGACCTGCCGAAAAAAAAGTTTACTCAAGTAGACATCCCATTATTTCCTACAACATTTACCCCATGATGCTGGAAAAAGTGCTCACTGTAATAATGTTTTGTGAAATGTCTCTGCACAGGGATGGGTCCACAAGTGATAGCCATATAGGAGTCAATTTGTAGACCTTATGACCTCAACTGATTTGACCTTTCCTTGAGTTTGCGGGAAAAATGTTTTTTTTCAAATTAATGCTATCAATATTGATGCTGTTTTTACTGTTATAAACATTATAAGTATTATAATGTTATTCACATTACTAAAAACAATAACAGGTAAAAAGGGTAAACTGGTGGAGATAGGTAGTATTCATAATTGGCTTATTGTTGATTTAGTACTGCCATAGCCATCTATGTGTAAAGACAATCAATAAACTAAAATAGTGGTCATAACATGTACATACATACAATCCCCAGTGGCACTGGGTTAAATCATACATACAATTATTAAAGGTCTTATGACATATATTAAAGAGCTAAATCTCAATCAATCTCAACTAAATTTTCACAGGAAACATATTCATAAAAACTAAAAATTATGATGCATTTCATGATTCCACTTAAAATTAAAATGGCCTTATGGTCTCCCCGTATACTAAAGCATCTGTCCTTCATAAACAGCAAAGTTCTTAAAATATGAAGTATCTGAGACAAAAAAAAAAAAAAAAAAAAAAAAAATACTGAAGATAATGAACCAAACTGTTCCACCAAAAAACAAATGGCAATACCAGTGTTGTCAACATTCTGTGTATTTGTGTGATGATTTCCTTACAAGTGTGACTTGGTTAACCATGATCTCAAGATGTGTGCAAGTATGTAAGTATGTATGTATGTATGTATGTATAGTATGTATGTATGTATGTATGTATGTATGTATGAATGTATGTATGTGTATATGTATATACCAAAAGCTTATCCTAAACCTTCAAATGTGATGAAGAAAAAGCAGGAAAACCATCCTCAGATTTTATTAGTAATACTAGTACACTCATTCCTGAATTACTCAAACTTAGTTTAGAACCTGAAAATATAAACTGCCATAGCTCATAAGCTGTCTACCAAATCATGGCAAATCATGCCTGAGACAGAAGGTATTACAAAACGGCTCAATGGAAGTAAAGTACTTCTGCAATGATTATAAAACATTGTTGTCAATAGTAATGAACTTAATTTAGTGCAGTGTTTTATTCCTGTAATCATGTAGAACCTTCACAATGAAAATTGAATAACTACTTTTCATTCACTATTTTGTGCCACTTCTGCAAATGTCATGTGTAATAGAGAGCAGGTATTGTTGTCTAGAAGCTTGTTAGCTATCCTTTATTTTATCCTCTTAAAATCAATCCTCGGTTATAATTACTATAACAGAGATCACATTCAAGAGTCTTTATAGATCCAAGAATACTGACAATCGCTATAGAATATATAATGAAGAGGTGCTTTGTATCTATCCTTTACTTTGGTCTGTTGACAATTCATCCCCAATTAAAATAAACATAAAAGTTCTTTGAGCTTTTACATATCCTAGAATACTGGAATTTATTAAAAAAGTTACCATTTTCCTGATCTTATATAAGAAAATGTCATAGCAACAGAACAAAACAAAAATTCATCTTT